ATAAATAAATAAATAAATATATGGAAGGTTGAGTTAACCTTGAGCCGGTGAGATTTGAACCGCTGAACTGCAGATAACAGTCAGCTGAAGTGGCTGCAGTACAGCACTCTAACCACTGCGCCACCTCGGCTTGCCCCAAATAGGAAACGGATGTTGTGGGAAGGGTTCATTCGGGATCTCCTCCTCCGTTGGGGTCATCCTTGGAAGATGCTTCCTTCCGTCCCAGGCCGTTCACACAACAACCAGCTCTCTTTTTCTTTCAGGATGGGTTAGATCCGAAATTAATCGCTCCATGCCACGGTGGGTATATTCTGGTTGCTTCGGTTCATTTTGTTCAGCCGAGATTGCAAAGCTCGTGCCCAGACCTCCATCTACTGCGCCAGCAAGGAGGGCATCGAGGGGATGAGCGGGCGGTATTTCATGGAGGAAAGCAAAGAAGGAAAGGAAGGTGAATCTGCTGTCAGGGTTCCACATAGCGCCATCCTCTATGAAATAATCGCTCGAGCCGAGAAGTTCCTCAAAACGCCAATTGATGAAGAGAGCCACAAGTTGGCACATCTGGGAAAACCCCAAATCTGAAAGCTTGCAGGTTTCCCCACCCAGTTGAAAGCTGAAGATCTTGCCCCCCAGCCCCCACCCACAAATCCATCCCAGGGTCCAATCAGCTACTGCCATGGATGAAGATTCCTCCTATCCGCATCAGTTGCAGGGATGAGGTGACCTTGACTTTCTGAGAAGGAATGTTATTATGGCTACCCAAGCTCCACACCGTCCCCCTTCCCAGTTTCCCATAGGAACTAGGTTTGAATGTGTGGCAGGCTTGAGGCCCAGCCCCCACCCCCGCACCCATGGCTTCCAAGCCTGACATCTGCCTCAAGGGGTGGGGGGGTGGGGGGGGACAGGAACTGTTTCTGCTGGGCTTAATCATGGAAGGGGATTATTTTCACCTGGAGTTCCATTGGGAACAGCGACTCTCCTGCCCTGCGTCAGAGGGGGAAAGGCCTCCGTTTGGGACAAACTATTTGGGGTTCTGTCTATCCAACAGGAACAAAGACTCTTCCTGCCCTGATTTAAAAGGGGGGTTGTTTTACTTGTGAGTAAGTGGCTTCTCATTGCTTGCGAAGGCTGTGAAGAACACCTTTCTTCCTTCCTTCTTTCCTTTCCTTCCTTCTTTTCTTCCCACTCCTATCATCTTTCTTTCTTTCTTTCCTCCCTCCCTTCCTCCCTTCCTCCCTCCCTCCCACACTTCTTCCTTCCTTCCTTCCTATCACCCTCCTTCTTTCCTTCTTTCCTTCCTTCCTTCCCTCTCTCCTTTGCTTCCTAACCCTAACCCTAACCCATTCCGATCATGTTTCTTTCTTTCTTTCCTTCTTTCCTTTCCTTCTTTCCTTCCTTCCTTCCCATTCTTGTCACCTTCCTTTCCTTCTTTCCTTTCCTCCTTTCCGTCTTTCTTTCCTTCCTTCCTTCCCATTTCTATCATCTTCCTTCTTTTCTTTCCTTCTTTCCATCTTTCTTTCCTTCCTTCCTTCCTTTCCATTCCTATCACCTTCCTTGCCTTCTTTCCTTCCTTCTTTTCTTCCCACTCCTATCAACTTTCTTTCTTTCTTTCCTCCCTCCCTTCCTCCCTCCCTCCCACTCTTCTTCCTTCCTATCACCCCCTTCTTTCCTTCTTTCTTTCCTTCCTTCCCTCTCTCCTTTCCTTCCTTCCTAACCCTAACCCATTCCGATCATCTTTCTTTCTTTCTTTCCTTCTTTCCTTCCTTCCCATTCTTATCACTTTCCTTGCTTTCTTTCTTTCCTCCCTTCCTCCCTCCCTCCCACTCTTCTTCCTTCCTTCCTTCCTATCACCCTCCTTCTTTCCTTCCTTCCTTCCCATTCCTATCACTTTCCTTTCCTTCTTTCCTTTCCTCCTTTCCATCTTTCCTTCCTTCCTTCCTTCCCATTCCTATTACCTTTCCTTCATCCCTCCCTCCCTCTCCTCTTTCCTTCTTATTCCTATCACCCTCCTTTTTTCCTTCTTTCTTTCCTTCCTTCCCTCCCTCCTTTCCTAGCCAAGGAGGGCGAGAGGGTTGC